AGCGGAGAGGCGAGCCAAGGTGAGGAAGCCGGCCGACCTCCTTGATACACGAATCAACGAATGAATGAACGAGGCAGCGAACTCGGGCCGAAAGTCTGAGGAAGCCGGCGCACATGATGGAGCCGCACCTATGGGGAGATATGGGGGAGATATGGAGATAGGGGGGAGATGTGAGGCAGCCGGCGGTCATGATGGAGCCGCACAGGGCCGCCGCCAGCGCGAAGCCGCCCGCGACGGCCACGTTAAACGAGCGGAGCTTCGAGCCGCGCCTGTGTGGGGAGAGATGGGGAGAGATGGGGAGAGATGGGGAGAGATGGGGAGAGGTGGGGAGAGATGGGGAGAGATGGGCAGAGATGGGGAGAGATGGGGAGAGATGGGGAGAGGTGGGGAGAGATGGGGAGAGATGGGGAGGTATGGGGAGAGGTGGGGAGATATGGGGAGAGATGGGGAGATATGGGGAGATTGCGGGTGGCGAGCGAAGCTCACGCGTCTAACTCGGCGTAATCTCCCGTAGATCTCGGCTAGATGGCGGCTAGATCTCGCGCTTGGGGGTGGCGAGCTCGGCGTAGAACTTCGGCGCGTTGTAGTGCGCGAGGAAAGTGGTAGCGAGCATGGAGACCAGGACGCAGCGCCTCGAGACCGAGGCGCCAGCATTTCTTCAATTAAGGAGTTCCAATTAATGCGGGGGGGGGGGGGGGGGGGTGAGGCCGCAACCATTAGTCTATTAAAAGTTCATAAGTAGTCGGGGAGAGATCGCCTTCAGATTGAGGCCGCCGAGCGGGCCGGCCGCCGCGGCAAACGCCGGCCGCATCGCCGGCGCGATGAGCTCCGCGCGTGCGCCGCCGGGTGCGTAGGAGCGGTCGAGGCAGCGGGTTGCCATGAAGAGCGCGGTGTAGGCCGTACCGCACGTGCCGATCACCTACGGTGATGCTTCGAGCTCTCCCCCTCCATAAGAGAAGGCCACCTCGAGCGTGTATAGAGGTGGTCATTGAGAGGGGAGTCCTCGAGACAAGGGGGCTGGAGGTTCTTTTGTCTTGTCTGCAGGTGCCGATCACCGAGCCGGCGGAGAGAGAAGACAAGTCGCGCAGGAGGCAGAGCGGCAGCAGGACGGCGGCCGAGATGATGCCGATCCTATGTAAGGGAGGTAGACTTCTCCACACAAACGAGGTGGCGATCCGATGCGCTGAAGACGCATACCTCAGGGCGGGAGGACGGGCATTGTGCTCTGTGTTCCGAGCACCGCGTGAAGACAACCGAGGCGAATCCAGCGACTCCAGCGGAATACGGCCGAACACGCCGGGAAGACGTGTCCTCTCGATCGCTACTAGGAGCACAAGAAGGTGCTACTAGGAAGAAGGTGCTACTAGGAGCACAAGAAGGCGTGTTTCGGCCTCTGAGATGCCGATCCATGCGTTCGGCGCGGCGAGCAGCCCCTTGGCGCCGGCGAGGGAGGCCATGGAGGCGGCCGAGTCGCCGAGGATGATGGCGTAGGCGAGCGAGCCGACGAACGTCTTGAAGATGATTGCCGCGTTCGGGAACGCCGCCGAGCGCTTGCCAAAGACGAGCGACCACGCGTCGCGGTACGTGTCGGCGCCGACGGCCGCTGAGACGCGGGCGATGGTGGAGAAGGTGTACGCCGAGAGGGCGCACATCGCGCACAGCATCACCAGCGCGGGGAGCACGGCCACGCTCGCGCCGGAGAAGGCGCCGACGCCCGCCGCGAGCGCGAGCACGCCCGAGCCGACGATGTTCTTGGCGAGGTTCGCCACCGTGCTGGGCACGCTCGCGCCGGACGACGCTGCGTCTCCCTGCGATGCCGACAGCGTCGCCGCCGCGAGCAGCGGCGTCGGCGCGCGACTGTGAGCTGTCGCGAGGCGAGTCGTAAGCAGCGGCCGGTGCTCGAGGCAGCGGCTGGTGCTTACGAGCGACCCGAACACCAGCAGCGCGAGCCGCGCCATGTGTGCACACGTGCAGTTGTGTCTGTGCAACGCGTCACCTATGCATGTCGCCAAGTGGGGCCAGGGTCAGAAACGTCGGAGGGCTCACCGCCCGGCGCGCATGCTGGCATGCACAATCCTGCGACGGAGGTCGGGCCGCGAAAGAATTATTTGCCCCGCGGTCTTGTTCGGCTGACGACTGGCATCGCCCTCGTTTGATTGCTCGACGATCACCCTCAAGCAGCATGGTGCGCGCCCCGCCCGCCGGGCACACGGGATACCCGACGCCTCCCGTGCACGCCACGCGGGAGGTAGTAGTAGAGATCGGCAGCGAGCTGAGACGGGTGGATACCCCAGCTCCGCGTGCCAGTAGCCCTGCCACAAGGCGCCAAACAGCACCACATTTAGCGACCACCAGAGCACCAGACGAGGTGCTGCCCGCCGAGGCCCGCGCACGCGAGGAAGCACGAGACGCGACGGCGTGTGGGCCGCCCGGCGAGCAAAAACACGGGCGCCGCCCGCGGCTCGCGCGGCAAGAAGGCGAGATGGCGAGATGGCGAGATGGCGAGATGGCGAGATGGCGAGATGGCGAGATGGCGCAGAAGGCGCAGAAGGCGCAGAAGGCGCAGAAGGCCCAGAAGGCCCCCCCCTCCCCCCCACCAACTCGAACTGGGGACCAGCCGGCACGAGAACGGTATTCGAGCGAGAGAGCCACCACGTCGGACAGGAAGAGATACGACGGCGAAGCACCAGCTCATATACCTGTATTATTATGCCTGTATGCCTATATGCCTGTATGCTGCTACTGGTGCCCCCGTGCGGAGCGACCCCCACATCTCGTCTGCACCCCGCCCATATCTCGCCCATATCCCACCCACATCTCGCGCGCACCTCGCCCATATCTCGCCCATACCCCGCCCGTATCTCGACCAAACCTCGCCTATCCCTAGCCCATATCTCGCCCGCACCTCGCCGGCATCCCGCCCGTATCTCCCCCACATCTCGACCACACCTCGCCCATAGCGCGCCTATATCTAGCTCACACCCCGCCCGCACCACCACACACCGCGCACCACGCCACACCACACACACCCCACACACACCCCACACACACGACACACACACACACCACACACACACACCACTACACACACACCACGCACACACACACACCACACACCACGCACACACACCACACACCACACACACACCACACACACATCACACACACGACACACACACACACACACACACACACCACACACCACACACACACACCACACACACACACCACACACACACACACACACACACCACACCACACACACACACCACACACACACACCACACACACCACACACACACACACACACACCACTCACCACACACACACCACACGCACACCACACACACACACACCACACACACACACACACCACACACACACCACACACACACACCACACACACACACCACACACACACACACACACACCACACCACACACACACACCACACACACACACACACACACACAGGAGTGGGAGTCAGAAATGTGGTCCTTGCGCGAGGGGAGCTCGATAGACTCGAGGGGCCAGGATACGCCGCGAGGAGGACGGAGTTGCGCCGAAAGGCAAAAGAAACCGCGAGAACAAGGGATAAGGGCATTTTTGGACGCTGCAAACGAAAAACATCGAAATGTCGGAGTTGGAGATTTATGACGACGCCGACCGACGCATTGCGATTGCAAACACAACGGCCAAGACACGAACGGTTGACGACATCGTGCTGGCTGCAAGTGAAGAAATGGATGGGACTAGAGAGGACAGAAGCGGCCATTGATTTCAGTTTCGTCACTGACTGATCCTTCTGACAGATTGACTGATTGACAACCTCGATGCATCTCCGAGATTGAAACGCGTTCCACGCAATCACGTAGTAGCAGGGGCCGCCTGCACGCGACGTCACCGAGTTGGGAGGGTGAGCAACACAGCAGCAGGCCAGCCAAAGCGGCGGCGTGTGCACGGGTGGAGGTGGGTTGGCAATGGTGGCACATTGATCTCTGGCCGGTGAAGCAGCCTTTGCAGCACTTGTAGGGCAGGACAAAGAGCTGCTTGCAGCAGCCTTTCCACCTCGACTCGGGCATTGTGGTGAGTGTGGCTGCCGCTGTTTATGCGCTGTTTTTGCCGAGAAGACCAGCTCAAAAGAATTTAACAACAACAGGCGGACGCACGACACGATTCACGCGACAGGCGAGGCGCGGGCGACGGCTTCCTCAGGAGCCGTCGCCCGCACCACAGGACTGACGACTGCCACTCCGGCGCCCACCCCACCCCACCCCAACATCCCCACCCCACAACTGACCCGAGCAGCCCCGCCCCACCCCGACCCGACCCGATCCACCCCGCTCGGCCCCGCCCTCACGGCCGCGCGCCCTCACGGCCTCAAAAATTATTTAAACAGCACCAAAAAAAAGAATTTTGGCAGCCGCCGGAGGCACCGTGGATCGGATCTACCGCCCCGGCCTCTGCCAGTAAGATATATGGGGCTTCGCGCGCTCATCTCCGTGTCGGACAAGACGGGCCTCGCCGACTTCGTCAAGGGCCTCCACGCCGCGGGCGTGTCCATCCTCTCCACCGGCGGCACCGCAAAGGCCATTCGCGACGCCGGCGTTCCGTGCACCGACGTCTCCGAGTACACCCAGTCGCCCGAGGTGATGGACGGCCGCGTCAAGACGCTGCATCCGCGCGTGCACGGCGGCATCCTGATGCGCGACACGGCGGCCGACCGCGAGGAGCTCAGCGGCAAGCTCGGCGGCGAGCCCATCGACCTCGTCGTCGTCAACCTCTACCCGTTCGCCGCGACCGTCGCCAAGGGCGCGCCTTTCGACGTGTGCATCGAGAACATCGACATCGGCGGCCCGACGATGGTGCGCGCCGCGGCCAAGAACCACGCCCGCGTGACAATCCTCGTCGAGGTGCGCGCCGCCCGGCCGCTCTCCCGGCCGCCGCCGCCGCCGCGCCGCCTCCGCCCGCGGCTGCGTGTGTCTGTGTGCGTACTGAGAGCAGTCCCCCGCGGCCGCGCAGCCGTCCGACTACGCGGGCTACCTCGCCTCGCTGCCCGCGGGCCCCGACGGGTCCGAGCGCGCCAAGTACGCCCTCAAGGCCTTTTCTCACACGGCGACGTACGACACCGCCGTCGCCGAGTGGATGCAGTCGCAGCTCTGCGAGGGGCGGAGCGCGGTGCTGCCGCTCAAGTACGGCTGCAACCCGCAGCAGAAGCCCGCGTCGGTGCGCGGCCTGCTCTCGCCGCTCGGCCCGCAGCCTCTCCCCTTTTCCGTCCTCTGCGGCACGCCCGGCTACATCAACCTGCTCGACGCCGTCAACGCCTGGCAGCTAGTCAAGGAGCTCGGGCAGGCGACGGGGCTGCCGGCGGCCGCCTCGTTCAAGCACGTCTCCCCGGCGGGCGCCGCGGTGTACGCCCCCCTCTCGGACGACATGCTCGAGGTGTACGAGGCTGCGGGCAAGCAGCTCTCCCGCACCGCCGTCGCGTACCTGCGCTCGCGCCAGGCGGAGACGCGCTGCTCGTTCGGAGATTGCTCGAGATTGCCCGAGATTGCCCGAGATCACACGAGATTGCCCGAGATCAGGCGGACCCGCTCTGCTCGTTCGGAGATTGCCCGAGATTGCCCGAGATTGCCCGAGATCAGGCGGACCCGCTCTGCTCGTTCGGAGATTGCCCGAGATTGCCCGAGATCACACGAGATTGCCCGAGATCAGGCGGACCCGCTCTGCTCGTTCGGAGATTGCCCGAGATTGCCCGAGATCACACGAGATTGCCCGAGATCAGGCGGACCCGCTCTGCTCGTTCGGAGATTGCCCGAGATTGCCCGAGATCAAACGAGATTGCCCGAGATCAGGCGGACCCGCTCTGCTCGTTCGGCGACTTCGTCGCCGTCTCGGAGGTCGTGGACGCGTCGACGGCGGCGCTGCTCAAGATTGAGGTTTCGGACGGCATCATCGCCCCCGGCTTCGAGCCCGAGGCGCTCGAGGTGCTCCGGGCAAAGAAGGGCGGCAAGTACATCGTCCTGCAGGCGGACGCAGACTTCGCGCCGCCCGACGAGGAGTCTCGCACCATCTACGGCGCACAGTTCCGGCAGCGGCGCGCGCTCGACGTCATCACCGACGCGACGCTGGCCAACGTGGTCACCGCCAAGAAGGAGCTGGGCGAGGGTGCGCGGCGCGACCTCCTCGTCGCGCAGGTCGCCATCAAGTACACGCAGTCCAACTCGGTCGGCTACGCCAAAGACGGCCAGATGGTGGGCGTCGGCGCGGGGCAGCAGTCGCGGGTGGACTGCTGCAAGCTGGCGGGCCGCAAGGTCGAGACGTGGTACCTGCGGCAGCACCCGAAGGTGCGCGCGCTGCCCTTCAAGCCGGGCGTCAAGCGGCAGGAGCGCATCAACGCGCGCGTGCGCTACATCGAGGGCGACATGCCCCCGACCGAGCGCGCGCAGTGGCTGACCAACTTCGAGTCCGAGCCCGAGGAGCTCACCGCGGCGGAGAAGTCGGCGTACCTCAAGACGCTCGACGGCGTCTCGCTGGCGTCGGACGCCTTCTTCCCCTTCCGCGACTCGATCGACGTGGCCTCGACGCGCGGCGTCGACTACGTCGTCGCGGCGGGCGGCTCGGTCGGCGATCCGGAGGTGATCGCCGCCGCAGACCAGTACGGCATGACGATGGCCTTCTCGGGCGTGCGCCTCTTCCACCACTGAGGCCCTCGCGCCAGGCGCGCCAGCGCTGAGGCGGCCCCCGGCGGCAGACGCCCGCGGGTGAGGTGCTCACGTTTGTCGGCCCTCGCCCGCATGCGCGCCAACCACAGTCCATACCACTCCAGCGCGCTCAGTCGTGGTGCTCAACACACCACGCACACTCCGTATGTACTGAGGTGAAGTAGAACACCAAGCGTGCGTGCAAAACTGTTGGAGATCTATAAAACGTGACCTCGGAAGCCCGCGCCACCGGAAATCGAAGTTGCAGTGCTTGCACTGGTTGAATCAATGCCGTGGGGCTCCTGCCCGTGTGGCATGTTGTGCGAGTATATGGGACAAAAGCGTCGAAAATGTCCCAAAAAGCGTGTCTCGAGTTTGTTGCAGCTCCGCAGCCTGCGCGCGCTGCCGGGACGCACCGCTCGCGCGTTCGGCACACTCGGTGGACCCCACCGAGTGTGCCGAACCAACGGGAGTGAGTAGGCTCGACGCCGTACTCGAGATGGAGCTGCAGAAAGTACGCCGCCGAGCGTGCCACCGACGGCGTCCCGGCGGCGGTGATGGAGTGTGAGACCTGAGGCTGCGGAGGTGACGCCTGAGGTACCGGCCCGTGCACAGCGACTCAGCCGGCGACCGCCACGGGCTCAGACGAGACTTGTCGACTCGTTCCGGCTCAGCTTCACCGTGGTCATCGGGCGTCTGTCGACGTCAGGACCACCCATACAGCTCGCGGGTTTGAGGTCGCAAGAGCCAAGATGGTGGCGTTTGGACATCCCAACCATCACACAAGACAGCCTGTAGGTGATGGCGGGACGGCGCAGTGTCTGTGGCACTCAGCAGTAGGCACCCGCGGCACGGCCCCGCTGTCGGCTCTCCACGGGCTGCGGAACCGGCCCCAGAGGGAGCCGGTCCGGGCGAGTGTGGCAGCTCCTGCGCTAGTATGGGCACCCTCTATCATAGCACTACTGATCCTGGTCATTAGAGCTGCCAGGGATAGCGTCAGGAGCCGGTAGGAGTCAAAACCTCTCATATTTGAGACATCGTGTCCCATATACTCGCACAACGAGCCGTGTCCGGGTGTGGAGATGCGAGGGTCGCCCCCCCTTGCCCCACCACTTTGTGTGTGTGGAGAAATTTACCTTACCTTACCTTACCCCCCCTACTCTCGCGAGACGCGACGCGACTCTCACAGACTCCGAGACAGACGTGAGAGAGACGCGTCTGTACAGTACGCAGAGTCTGCCCTACGGCGCGGGTCGCTCACGACGCAAGTTCGCATTCCCACTAGGCCCTCACGCAAAGAGCGCACCGGGCCGTGCCCCTCTAGCATCCTGGTAATGAGCACAGGACCGTGGGTCGTGCCACGTCATGGATACGGTCAGTGACGACTCATCGTCCGTTCCTAGTTTGCGGTTGCGCCATCGCTAGGTGGGAGACGCGGCTCCCGCCGCCCCACTGGCGCTCCACGGCGCAGCAGATGCCACGCTCTCAACGCCGCTCTACGCGGCTACACGTGCTCTGCCGATGCCGACGTCGATGCCGACGCCGCCGACGCCGACGCCACTGCCTCGGCTTCTCCCGAGGTTGAGCGCTCTGAGGCGCGGAGCCGGAGGCCGCCAAGGCTGCGGAAGGCCGTTGACGCGCGGCGCACGATGCTCGATCGGAGGCCGGCGCTCGACTTGACCGGAGTCGCGCCGAGACCCTGTGCGAGGAGCACGAGCGACACCTACGGGAGAGGTTGAGCAGCGCGGCGTGACGGCCGGTGAGCGGCCACCAGGCGGCGAGGGGGCGAGCGCGCGCCTCGCGGTGGCGCCCGGGGAAGCACGAGCGCGCGAGGTCCTTGTAGAGCCCGCCCGCGATGAGCTCCTGCGGGGCGTTGGAAGGAGAGGACCTCGGGGGAGGGGGGGCTCGGGACGGGTGTCACTTGTGCAGTCTTCGCTCCACCTGCGGCGTGGTCTCAAAAAACTTGGAGAACTCGCAGCCGCCGAGGTCCGGGTCGTTCTCGTGCGCCATGACGATCGGCAGCCTGTCCTGGCGCGCCTGCGTAACCTGCTCGGCCAGCCGCTCGTCGCTGAAGCTGTGCTCGTTGAGGTAGAGAAGCATGTGGGTCGCGTCGCCGGCCTCCTCGGCGGTGGAGACGATGAGGCCGGGAAAGGCGGCGACGAGCTCCTCGGCCAGCTCCCTCGCGCCGGCGTTGGCCGGAGAGGCCCAGACCTTTGCGAACGTGGAGAAGCCGAATGCCCTGATCCGCAGCTCGCCCGTCACTGTGAGCGGAAGGGAGGTGCTTCCCAGAAAGTTGGGCGAACAAAGGAGCAGCGCCTAGTTCCAGTGGGGGGTGCGGTTGGTCGGGAGGGGGAGAGGAGTGCGGAACGGCTGGCTGCAGGCAGCGCGCGCCTCGGCGGTGATCTTGAGTGAGACGAGCTGAAACTCCTCGATGCGATACCAGATCGTGAGCGGCCAGTCCTGGTCAAAGATGTCCGGCTGGAGCTCCTCGGGGCACTCTGCGCGCAGCGCTGTTAGCGTCCCGCCGCCCTTGGCCGGGTCCGCCTCTTGGACGAGAACGAGCGGTTTGTCCATCTCGAGCGACGAGCGGACCTCTCGAAGGCAGTTCTGTGGCGCACAGGCGGGCACAGGGTGAGGCAAGGGAGCTTGGGCTATGACAGAGACGGGATTGAAGCATGAGGCGCCCTGGACTTGAAGTAGCCCCTCGAGAGGAAGAAGAGGATGACCTGCGAGCGCTGGATGTACTCCTCGAGCGCCCCAATGTCCTCAAGGTCATCGACCTGTGCGTAGCGACGGGTGGGTCAAAGGCGCTTTGCTCGCCATGCAGCGCGACTGGGCAGCATGCGCGCGCGTCGAGAAAGATCTTGATGCCCGGCAGCAGGATCTGGAGCTGCCTCTTGATGACCGCGACGGCGTCTTGACCGGTACTCCAGATGTGGCTGTTGAAGAGGTGCCACGTGATGCCCATCCCGACGCTCATCTCGGGCGGCTGGTTGGTCGAGACGAGGCGGATCGTGGGAGCCTTCTTGGCGTGGCGGGCGGAGACGACGGCGCCGATGAGGAAGAAGACCAGCGTCGCGCCGACGAGGACGAGCATCGAGTTGATGATGCTGGACAGGTTATCGAAGCCGAGGACTGCATCAGCATCGTCGACGCCGGTGCGCTCCACGATACCGAGGAAGATGGTGGTCCAGTTCGTGGCGAGGAAGAGGAGGAGGAGCACGAGGCTAGTGGCAACAGCTAGCACGTTATCCTCGACCCGCTTGAAGGGCCGCACGACGGCGAGCACGACAGCGTAGAAGGAGCAGATGAGGGTCGCCACCACGAGGCGGACAAAGGCTCGCTCCTCCGGGATCAGCAGCACGAAGCCCGTGAGCACGAGCTTGCGCGCCAGCTCGACCGCCTCCCACCAGTAAAAGGTTGCTTTGTACTCTCGATGGAGGAAGGTAGTCGCCCGCGTCAGAGCATTCGGCCTCTTGGCCTGCAGCGGCTTGTAGCAAGCGACGAGGAGCGAGATGAAGAGGATCAGAGAGCCCGCAGGCCACAGGGCGATAAGGCCAAAGGCGAGCTCGGTGACTGATCCGTGCTCGTCGGTACCGCACTCGATGCTCGCGTCCAGCCGCATGTAGGAGACCTGCTCCAGAGGCGACTCGGGCGGAGAGACGGTGTAGGCCTATGAGCGAGACACGGCGAGCGCTCAAGGAGGGGTCGGGTTCATGCAGCAGCAATCAAACGTTTAGGGGGGCCTTGCATGACCAGGAGCGGAAGATGGAGGCGCTGATGGAGGGCACGAAGCAAAAGATGAGCACCAAGCCGGGCGGCGTGAGGTCGAGGACGCCGAGGGCCGCCTCTGCGATCCATGGCCTCGCGCGCGGCGCAGGGGCGGCACGCCAGCGGTAGAGCCGCAGGCTTATCCCGGCTGCCATGAGCAGTGCGATGAAGGCGACGGGCGAGAGAGCGATGGCGAGCAGCCGCAAATCGTAGCCGAGGCACTGCTGCGGCAGGAAAAGGCCAGACCAGTCGATTGAGACCGTGTTGGCCAGCTTGTCGGTCCAGCCCGTGTACTCTGGCGGCAGCCGCGCCGAGTAGGTGGAGGACAACACGGTGCAGATCTGGTAGAAGCCAAAGAGCACCTTGGTCTTGGCCGTGAGGCCGATCGCGACGTAAATGTAGACGGCACGATCGGCAAAGCGGAGCAGGCGGCCGATGTAGCGCTTCTTCCGCCATTCCGTCATGCTGTAGGCCCAAACCGCGAGGCCGCAGGCGACGCAGAAGCCGAGGACGAGGCCGACGATGCGGCCGGCCACAGCGGCGCGCGGCGCGCATTCTTTGCACGTGTATCCGTCGACGAGGTAGTGATTCTCCGCAACGCAGAGCTGGCACTCCGGGCCAGTGAAGCCGGAAGCGCAGTACTCGTCCGAAGAGCTCACCTCCACCATCCTCCGGCGACCAGAGGCCTCTGCCTCGCTGCCGGCGCATCGCTGCTTGCCGGCATCGCCATCGCCGCCAAAGCCGCCGCACTCCGTCAGCACGGCGCTGAAGGGGCTGGCGCGCCAGAAGCCGGCCGGGATACCGAGGGACTCGAGAGTCGTGTTGACTGGGCAGTCGGCGTTCGGCGGGCAGGACTTGCAGTACTCGGTCGGGGATTTGAAGATGTCGTCGGGGTCGGCGCTCGAGAGCAGGTAGTAGTCCTTCATGCAGACGGAGCAGATGACGTCGCCGCGCCCACTACCGAGGGGATGAGGACATGGGATGCACTGGCCCTGGCCAGCGTTGGCGGCGTAAGAGCCCGCCTCACACGAATCGCACGAGTCGCTCCCTTGGTTCGACGAGGTGCCGGGAGGGCAACGCTCGCACTTGGGCTGCCCCTCGGTTGCGGCAAAGGTGCCAGGCGAGCACGGCGTCTGCTCGATGGAGCCCGTGGTGGCGAAATGGCCCGTGGTGGCGTCGGTGCACTCCGAGGCGGCCGAGAGGTCTGTGGCGCTCGAGAATGTGCCCTTTCGGCACGGCAACGGTGCCGCCGCGCCCTTGGCGCAGTAGTGTCCTGCCTCGCACTTGCGGCAGCCGGTGGCGCCCGTGTCGTCCTGGTAGCGGCCCGCAGGGCAATCCGTGCACTCACTCTGCCCGGGGCTGGCGCCAAACGTCCCGGCGCGGCAGCTTTTGCACGTGTCGATGCTGTCTGCTCCCAAAGTTGGGCTCGAGGTACCAGGGGGGCACTTCTGACAGTCGTCGGGCGAGCTGCCGCCTTGCTGATCGTTGTACGTCCCCACTGGGCACGGCGTGAAGCCGCCGCCGCAGTTCTTGCTATCATCGCAATACCCACCCACGGCACACCTGACGCACGAGGTTTGCCCGCGCTCTGGCTGGAATTGGCCGGGAGGGCACTGTGTGCACTCGGCCCGACGCATATCATTTTGGTATTGGCCCGCTGGACACTGAAGCGCTTGTACGGTGCCTTCGTTCGGGCAGAAGCTACCCGCGGGGCAATCCGTACAGCCGGTCGCGCCGAGCTGATCGGCGAATGTGCCGGCCGGACAGGCATCGCAGCTGTCCGCACCGGCACGGGATTGGCTGCTCCCCGGAGAGCATGCGACGCACGACTCGGCGCTGGTTGCACCCTTGACGGGCATGTAGAAGCCCGCTGCGCAGGGCGTCGGTGTCACCGTGCCCTTTTGGCAGAAGTGGCCTTCCCAGCAGTCGCCGCTGCAGGTGGCAGAGGTGAGATCTCTGGCGTTGCCGTAAACGCCGGCGCGACACGTCTCAGCGCAGCCCTCGAAATCGCCTGAGACCTCTCCCATCGCTGACGACCACTGACCGAGGTTGCACTCCCAGGTGATGGACGCAGGAAAGAAGACGGTGCTCGCGCCGTGTCCCATGAAGCTCGTGCTGCTCAGCGTTGACATCGCGTCAGAGGTAGGACCGAACTCGTATGCGATGGCAGCGCCTGTGGTAGCGATGTTGTCGACGAATGCGGCGCCTTGGATGGCAAACGTTGCATCGCGGGCAACGAGTCCGCCGCCCGATGTCGAAGCCGCCGGTAAAGCTGCAGAGGCCGCGCACGCTGTGATGTTGGTGGCGACGAGTGAGTGGTCGCCCGACCGGAGGGAGAGCCCGCCGCCGCTCGCGCGCTCGTAGCCGACGGCGGCGCAACGGATGACAGTGACGGATGTCAACTCAACGTGAGGCGGCAGCTGTGGGTCGCGCTGCGGGTACAAGCAGGTTATTGGCCACGCGCGCAGCGCATTGTCGCCGCCGACCGTGGCGATGCGGCTGCCGTCGGGCGAGTAGGCGACCGAACCGATGCCGCCGCGGTGTGCGTCCAGCCTCTGCAGCGGGGGCGACGACAGGTCCGAGGCGGCCCAAACGCGCAGCGCATTGTCGCCGCCGACCGTGGCAATACGGCTGCCGTCGGGCGAGTAGGCGACCGAACCGATGCCGCCGCTGTGTGCGTCCAGCCTCTGCAGCGGGGGCGACGACAGGTCCGAGGCGGCCCAAACGCGCAGCGCATTGTCGCCGCCGACCGTGGCAATGCGGCTGCCGTCGGGCGAGTAGGCGACCGAGTAGATGTGTCCAGGACCGCTGTGTGCGTTCAGCCTCTCCAGCCGCGGCGACGACAAGTCCGAGGCGGCGTCCCACACGCGCAGCGCTTTTTCTTTTTCGCCGCCGACCGTGGCGATGCGGCTGCCGTCGGGCGAGTAGGCGACCGAGTAGATAGGTATCATGCCGCCGCTGTGTGCGTTCAGCCTCTCCAGCCGCGGCGACGACAGGTCCGAGGTGTCCCACACTCGCAGTGCACTATCCAAGCCGACGGTGGCGATACGGGTGCCGTCGGGCGAGTAGGCGACGGAGATGATCCCGCGAAGCAGGAAGAAGCCGACGGTGAAGCTGCTGTGTGCGTTCAGCCTCTCCAGCCGCGGCGACAACAGGTCCGAAGCGTCCCACACGCGCAGCGCACTATCCAAGCCGACTGTGGCGATACGGGTGCCGTCGGGCGAGTAGGCAACCGACTTGATGAGGGAAATTGGCTCGCTGAGAATCAAGCACAGCATGCCAATTTCAGGTACGCAGCCGATGTGTGCGTCCAGCCTCTCCAGCAGGGGCGAAGTCAGGTCCGCGGCGTCCCACACGCGAAGAGCGGTGTCGTCGACCGTGGCGATACGGCTGCTATCAGGCGAGTAGGCGACCGAACTGATGCTGCTGCTGAGTGCGTCCGGCCTTTGCAGCGGGGGCGACGACAGGTCCGAGGCGGCGTCCCACACGAGCAGCGCTTTGTCGCCGCCGACCGTGGCGACACGCATGCCGTCGGGCGAGTAGGCAACCGATTCGATATAGTCTTTGTGCGCCTCCGGCCTCTGCAGCGGGGGCGACGACAGGTCCGAGGCGGCGTCCCACACGCGCAGCGCCCGGTCGTGGCCAACCGTGGCGATACCGCTGCCGTCGGGCGAGTAGGCAACCGATTCGATCCCGTCGCTGTGCGCCTTCAGCCTCTCCAGCGGGGGCGATGACAGGTCCGAGGCGTACCACACGCGCAGCGCCCTGTCGTAGCCGACCGTGGCGATGCGGCTCCCGTCGGGCGAGTAGGCGACCGAGGTGATCCGGCCGCTGTGCGCCTCCAGCCTCGGCATCGGGGGGGAGGACAGGTCCGAAGCGTCCCACACGCGCAGCACGCTGTCCTCGCCGACCGTGGCAATGCGGCTCCCATCGGGCGAGTAGGCGACCGACCAGATGTAGTTGAAGCCGCAAGATTCCGCCGCGCATTTGTGTGCGTCCAGCTTCTCCAGCAGCAGCGAGGACAGGTCCGAGGCGGCCCACACGCGCAATGCGCTGTCGTCGCCGACCGTGGCGATACGGCTGCCGTTGGGCGAGTAGGCTACGGATCTGATGGACCAGCTGTGTGCGTCCAGCTTCTCCAGAGGCGGCGAGGATAGGTCCGAAGCGTCCCACACGCGCAGCGCAGAACTGTCGCCGGCCGTGGCAATGTGGCTACCGTCGGGCGAGAAGGCGACAAACCTGATCCAATTGCTGTCTGCGTCCAGCTTCTCCAGCAAGGGCGAGGACAGGTCCGAGGCGTCCCACACGCGCAGCGCATTTTCGGGATGGCCGCTGACCGTGGCAATACGGCTGCCGTCGGGCGAGTAGGCGACCGATCTGATGCCTGAACTATGCGCGTCCAGCCTCTCTAGCACCTTATCAATTGCCACCTCGTTCGAAGCGTCAATGGCGCCACCATACGCCGCGCCGTCGAGCGAGACTACACTCGAGCCCTCGATCGAAGACTCGGTCGCAATCAAAGTCCCGCCGTGCCGCACCTTGACCGCCCCGCCACTCGCTTGCGCGCCGCCGTTGACGAGGTGCACGCGCTCGAGCTCGAGCGTGCCGCCAAAGGCGACGTCGAAGTGGCGGGAGCAGTTCCTGGCGTCGAGGGTTGCACCGGCGCCCACGCTCAACAGAGTCACGTGCGCGACGTGCACGTGCAGCTGCGAGCACACGGCCCATTCGAAGCGGGCCCCCTCTGGCAGCTCGACGATGACGGCGCCAAGCCTGCCGGAGTGGCTGCGGACGGCGTCGCGGAGCTCGGTGAAGGTTTGCACGGTGTACGTTGGGGGCGGTGCTGATGGCGGCGACGGCGGCGGAGCGGCTGGCGGTGGCGGCGAGGGCGGCGACGGTAGAGACGGCGGCAGCAGCGGCGGCGGCGGCGGCGGCGGCGGCCAGCAGTGAAACCAAGCCTGTTGGGTATCGCGGTCGTAATTCACGCCCTGAATGTCAAGTGGGTCGTCGGCATCGTCGCTGACCGCGTACATGTTGACCACAGTCGAGGACCACGGGTCGCAGGGGTAAGTGGCCGCAACGCACCACGACTCATAGGATTGGTCGTCGCAGGCGGCTGCAGGGCATCCGAATTGTGTGTTTTCGCAGGTGCCGATGACTGTCCACGCATCGGCGCACTCGCACGGCGGCGGCGGCGGAGCGGCTGGCAGAGGCGGCAGAGAGGGCGGCGACGGTAGAGACGGCGGCAGCAGCGGCGGCGCCGGTAGAGACGGCGGCAGCAGCGGCGGCTCCGGCGGCGGCGGCGGCCAGCAGTAAAACCAAGCCTGTTGGGTATCGCGGTCGTACTTCACGCCCTGAATGTCAAGTGGGTCCTCGGCATAGTCGTCGCTGCCCGCGTACATGTTGACCACAGTCGAGGACCACGGGTCGCAGGGGTAAGTGGCCGCAACGCACCACGACTCATAGGATGGGTCGTCGCAGGCCGCTGCAGGGCATCCGAATTGTGTGTTTTCGCAGGTGCCGATGACTGTCCACGCATCGGCGCACTCGCAAGGCTCGCCATAGCTACGCTCGCAGTGGCCGCTGCCGTCTTTCAGCCGGCACTCAGCTCCGCCCCACTGGCAGTCGGCGTCGCCCGCCACAGCGTTTCCATCGCCGTCTCTCGTGCAGCCTGCGCAGCCGTCCGACTCGCTGCAGCCAGGGCCAAGACCGGGCGGCACGGGGACAACCGCGGCTTCCACGGAGACGATGTCGATCGTGCTTGAAGTCACGGAAGAGAGCTCGCCCGAGATCAACACTTCTACCTCGTTATCTGGATCGTTTGCGAACGCCGCGGCGTCGGCCGCCGCAAAAGTGTCGACGATGGTGACAGTGTAGACGTAGCTGTCGACCTGCGACTCTCTCGTCACCATGCATGCCGCCACAGGCTGCTGTATCAGGTTGATCACGATGTCGCACATGTCCGCCTCCGACACCAGCGGCTCCGGGGGACTCTGCGTGATGTTGATCTGGAGCGCTGCGAGCGACTCGTCATCGCTACGCTCGCAGTGGCCGCTGCCGTCCTTCAGCCGGCACTCAGCTCCGCCCCACTGGCAGTCGGCGTCGCCCGCCACAGCGTTTCCATCGCCGTCACGCGTGCAGCCTGCGCAGCCGTCCGACTCGCTGCAAACATCATCGAGCGACTCGTCATCGCTACGCTCGCAGTGGCCGCTGCCGTCTTTCAGCCGGCACTCAGCTCCGCCCCACTGGCAGTCGGCGTCGCCCGCCACAGCGTTTCCATCGCCGTCACGCGTGCAGCCTGCGCAGCCGTCCGACTCGCTGCAAACATCATACGGCGGCGGCGGCAAAGCCGACGGCGGCGGCGGCGGCAAGGCCGACGGCGGCGGCGGATACAATGCACATGCCAGCGGGAGCAGCGCGACGAGAAGAAGCAGCCACGCGCCGCGCCTTGCCCCCGTCCGGCCCCGCGCCCGCACCGAGAGCAGCCCGCATGCTCCGAGCAGCAAGAACAAGGCGGCCCAAAGCTGACCGCGCTGCCGGCCAGGCCGAGAGAAGTTTGCGCTCATGAAGAAGTGAATCGGGGAGGGCAGGTCGATGGAGAGATCGTCGGCCGGCGGGCCCGCGGGAGGCTTGTCGGTCTTGAAGAGCTCGTCGTTGAGCGCGTGGTGAGGCTCCGCGTGCCACGCAAGCGCGGCGCAGCGTGGCCGCGAGTCGGAGAAGAGATCGGACTCGACCGCGTTTGACGAGTCGGCGATCTGAGCGGCGCGGACCTCTGCAGGCCACGTCGGCTCCCCCAGCGCGGCCGCGGGAAGAGGGATGGCCCGGTCAGGGATGAAGAGATCCTCGGTTGGGACTCGAGAAGCGTTCGCCAGTCCGTCGTTCGCCCGCCACTCGCCGCCGGCGTGCATGCTAGAGACGGGCGCGCCGAGGCCAGTCTCGACCAGCTTCCGCACCTCCAGCATCCCAGGCTTCGGCGCGCCGGTGGGCCGCAACTCGGGCGACGTGTCGTTCACGGGCAGGACGCTTTCGCGCTCCCGAGCGATGCTCTCCGTCCTGCTGCTGTAGACGGGAGCGACAGAAGCGATCTCGAGCTCGCCCTTGCGCTCCGTGCTGGAGGCTGGAAGGGTCTCCAAGTCGGCCTCAACCTACACGCAAAAGCAGGCAATCGGTCGCGGGTTAAAACACTCGCACACAGAAACAGCCAGAGGGGCGCTCACCGGCTGCTTATCGTAGACGCCCTTAACGGACGCCGGCGGCTCGCCAATCAGGTGCAACGGCTCGCCCACCGCCTCGTCGATCTTTTTCATCAGTGCTTTCCACGAGCGCCCCTCCTCGTGCCCGCCCTGGACGGCGCGCGGGCTGTTAGTCGCGAGCTGGCGCGGCGCGGATACTAGCACGCGCGAGCGAGCACGCACCGGGTGGTCGGCGGGCACGCTGTCCAACGAGGCGATGTCTGCAAACGAGCTCGCGTCGCCAACCTCGCAGATGAATCCGTTGAGCGATGACGGCGCGAACGGCTTTGCGACGGTTGCGAGCGGCGATGTCGGCCACGGGGAGTCGTACCACCGCGAGGAGAGAAGCGCGGTGGTGGCAGAGTACGAGTAGTGCGCAGACGCGGCTCCGAGGCAGATCAGCGCGAGGATGCCAAAGAGGCGGAGCGGGCAGATCTTGGGCCACGAGAACCAGCCGGTGGCATAGCCCTCGAGCGTGGTGATCGTGGTCGTCTCGATGATGACCGTCGCGCCCTGAAGAGGAGGGCGCGAGAAGTCGCCGCGTGAGCGGCGAGCCGGGGAGAGGCCACATATGCAGGCGGCGGGCACCGCGTTTGCGGTCGACGGCGTGGATCCGCGCGTCACTTTGGAGCGCTTGCCGGTGCCGGTGCCGCTGCCCTCGTTGCCGCCCGCCCCGAGCAGGGCCCCGTACCCGTTGCTGCAGTCGACCGGGGCGGACGCCCCCTTGCGCTCGTTGTTGCGGCGCGACTTCGAGGGGGCCGTCCACTCGGAGATACCCTGTGCACACGCGCAAACGGTGGGTGCGTCAATAGTTGAGCTCCGCGTGTGCACCGCAGCGTGCGAGCGACAATACGCACCGGGACGGATTTCTCCTCTGGAAATTCCTTGGCTGAGACGGTCCAGTCGGCGTCGCCCTACGCAAAGTAAGCGGGGCGGGTCAAGGGGTCGGCAGACGCGAGGCCGCGCGCAGAATGCCAGGCGCTCGCCGCCGGGGCGGGCTTCTCCGCAAACTCCTTGACCGACGGCAGCGGCGCGCCGCCGGCGGTGACCGGCTCGAGAGCCGGCACGTCTTTGGTGACCGGCTTGAGAGCCGGCGGGGCGTTTTTGGTGACGCCGATGGCGGCCGCCGGCGGGTCGGTCGGGCGCGCAAGCTTGGACCAGAAAACGGCGTTCGCGCTCGGCTGGTCGACGGCGAGCATGGCCTTGGCAAGGTCCGAGTCGACCTCCGCAGCGGGCGCCGTTGCCGCGGCCAGGTCTTTCTTGAGGATGCTCTCATCGAGGGAGGCCTCCGCGACAGACTTGGCCACGGGGACGCCCTTCACGACGTCGTTCTTGGCGCCGCACGCCTGTGGGCGAGGGAGAATACGCACGTGACCTGGCGTGCGCACGTCGTGGGCAAGCGTGATGCCAACCTTCACGGGAGCCATCGGCGCAGACTCGCCCTCGGACGCGACGGCCGTCCCGCCGCCGTCGCCGATGACGTCTTTGAACGACGCGGGCTCGATGCTGTCGGCCTTGCCTCCGGCAGCGTCGATGACGAACGGGGGCGGCGACGGAAGTGGCGGGCACGAGGTTTTGTCGACGGTGAACGTGAGGCGCCGCGCGGCCTTGGCGGATGAGTCGAACGTAGCGCCTACCGACGCCGCAAACACGACGCCGACATACTCGAGCGAAGCAGGCTCGCCTTCGGACTGGAAGACGTCCTCGATTGAAGCAGGGTCGCCCTCGGACTGGATGCCGGCGGCCTCGCCTCTGGGAGGGTTGACGGTCGTGTTGCCCGCCAGCGACACCTGTGTCAGCCAGAAGGCGAGAGGATTAATCTTGCATGAAACGCAGTACCGTGCACACAAGCACACGCCTGCTTGTCGGCAAGCGGCGGCGGAGGAGGAGAGAGCTTGAGAACGAGCTTGTTACCGGCGGCCGGCACGAACTCGAGTTTGAGCTTTTCGAGCATGATTAGCCTGCAGCGCACGATGTGCACGCCAATGAGTCAATACGGCCGGACGAGTAGAAAAGCAATCACCAATTATGAATTGATAAGATTGAGGCGCCCAGTGCAGCGCTGCAGCTGCTGCACCAACTACTGCAGACTACTGTAGACCGCTGAAGTGCGAACTCATGCTGCACTTCCGCGGATTACGGACGTACTGCTGCGCATTATTACTGCAGACTGCAGACTGCTGCGCGTTACCGACCGGATGAGTATCAAAATACTCGTTGACTCTAGATTAGAAGGCGCCCAGCTGCACCGGCTGGGAGGAGGAGTTATCAATGATTTAATAATGATTTTAAGAGGCGCCCAGTACAGCCGCTGCACCAACTATTGCGACTACTGCAATATTACTATCAACTAATGCGGATTTCACGCTATTTCTGTGCGCTAGAGCGCTACTGCACGTTATCAATGATAAACGAATGACTATTTATTATTAAGAGGCGCCCAGTACAGCGCTACAGCTGCTGCACCAGCTTGCGCGACTACCACTGCGCATTATTACTGTCGGCTGCTGATTACACGCTGTTACTGTGGACTATCGCATGCTATCAATTACATATTAATGACCATTGATTATTATGAGTCGCCCAGTACAGCGCTGCAGCTGCTGCACCAACTACTGCGACTACTGCTGCTATATACTGCTGCGGACTACTGCGCATTATTACTGTCGGCTGCTGCTGATTACACGCTGTTACTGTGGACTATTGCATGCTATCAATTACATATTAATGACCATTGATTATTATGAGTCGCCCAGTACAGCGCTGCAGCTGCTGCACCAACTTGTGCGACTACTGCTGCGATATACTGCTGCGGACTACTGCGCATTATTACTGTCGGCTGCTGCTGATTACACGCTGTTACTGTGGACTATCGCATGCTATCAATTACATATTAATGACCGTTGATTATTATGAGTCGCCCAGTACAGCGCTGCAGCTGCTGCACCAACTTGTGCGACTACTGCTGCGATATACTGCTGCGGACTACTGCGCATTATTACTGTCGGCTGCTGCTGATTACACGCTGTTACTGTGGACTATCGCATGCTATCAATTACATATTAATGACCGTTGATTATTATGAGTCGCCCAGTACAGCGCAGCTGCTGCTGCACCAACTTGTGCGACTACTGCTGCGATATACTGCTGCGGACTACTGCGCATTATTACTGTCGACTACTGCGGATTACACGCTTGTACTGTCGATTACTGCAGATTAACGACTGCGGACTGAGCACTATGATAATCTTGGCGATGCTCTCAGGCAACGATCAGGTTGAAGAGGCCAGCCAGCACCATCTAGTAGGTACTTAGAAGTCACAGGCGCATGACGTGGAGGGCGTACCATGTGTGAATGGCTGAGAATAAGTAGTAATCAGCCATCGGCACGAGGGTGGAGGGCGTAAATGAGTAATTACCACAGCCGAAGCTTGTGAATGAGTGAGAATGAAAAACTAAGTAATTCGGCATCGGCGCACGAGACGTGCGTGGAGAGCGTACCCTGTCAATGGGTGAGAACGAATGCTGAAGTAGGACGTAGTCATAGGCGCACGAGCGTGGAGGGCGTAACCTGTTAATAACGAGTGAGAATGAATGGCATCTACCACAGCCGCGGCTTTAGAATGAGTGAGAATGAGTGATTAAGTAGTGATTAGTCATAGGCGCCCTGTTACTGAGTGAGAATGGCTGACTGCCACAGAATTGACACTTGTGACTGAAATGTGATTAGTCGCTAATAGGGACCACGAGACAGGAGAGTGTTCCGCGTTAAAGAGCGAGGGCGTAAGTACGCAATCCTGTGTCAGTCTCGGCTGGGATCTCGGGTCGTTCTCGGAACCTCTGCGCAGCTGCAGCGCGCAGCGGAAGGAACGCGCCTACACGATCACAACCGTGAAAGAGAAGATGTCTTTGTTTATGAGGGACCATGCGCGCTATGAAGGCATATAACAACATCTCGGGCAATCTCGGGCTACCTGCCTAAAGACAGAAAAAGAAATCAACCCCCGTGCTGCCGCGATGCAGGACTAACGCAAGCTTGTTGACCGGGAAGGTTCAGCCGGAGAGAGTAGAGCTGCGCCTGCGGACAGCACGCCGCGGCGTGAGCGTCGAGACGAGGCCGCCGGCACGCGCTGTCTGTCGCGTCCGCGGCGCTCGGGACTGGAGCCGCGGGCGGCGACTGGCGAGCGAGCGGGCTGTGGCCGGAAGACAGGAAGGGCGGGCCGGCGCTGGATAAGAATGGCGAATGGGCAAAAATGGACGTGTCTCGCGGCAGTGGCCGCCACCTGCGAGCGGGAGGGTGCAGGCGGTGCCAGGCTGAGGGGGGTGCAGGTTAGCCGCTCGAGCGAGTGCGCATCGCTCGCCGGGAGCGGTGCGGGCACGGCGGGCTTCGCGAGCAAGAGGCGTCGCGGGGATCCAGGCGTGCAGCTTGCGGCGGTGCGATGCGGCGGGGCAAGCGCGAAAGCAATGGGAAGGTGAATGGTTAGCAGTGGCTAGCCTTGGCGTCGGGGAACCTGCACTGGAGCTTGCTAGAGGGGAACGGTCGCAAACGGGAACATGGAAAAAAAAAAGCGACGGTGCGAGATCGCCCGAGATAGCGCGGCGCGGCGGTGGGTGAGGTGGGGCGGGGTGGAGAGGCGTGGCGTGGAGCTCCGAGATCGCCCGAGATCGCGCGAGATCGCCCGAGATCGCGCGGCGCGGCCCGAGGCGAGGTGGATGGGTTGGGAGCGAGGGGGCGGAAGTGATCAGTGCGGTAGATCGGTCAGTCGGGGCGCGTGAGCCGGACTTGTGAGGAGCCGGACGGCTTTCATTTCTCTCTGCGTTGTTGAGCCAGGACTCAACATACTCGTTCTGTTGCCATCCCAAACTGTCACTCCCCTTTCTCCCGGCCGGGGCGGGGCGCGCGCGGGGGCGGCGGGTGTGCGGCGAGTGAGAGAGAGAGAGATTTTTAGAAGCCAACAAGAAATGTGTCACACAGAGTGATTTGCGCTCGGCAGCTTGTCGACTACCAGCCGGAGCCGGAGTCGGAACCGTAGCCGAGATGGTCTTCGAGGGTGTCGAATATGTCATTCGCCTCGCTAGTGGAGCCGGTGCCGCACGAGTCGCGGTCGGAGGAGGAGTCGTCGGAGGAGCGGTGGGACGCCTCGCGCTTGTCGCGCCTGATGCGCTCTGCGAGGGGGCCGGGGTCGTGGTCGTCGTGCTCGAGCGTCGGGTAGGTAGCGCGCCTTGCGACCTTGTCGGCCGAGCTGCCATCCCAGTAGAAGGTGTACCAGTCGCCGCGTGGATAGAACCAAGCGTTGACCAACCTGTACCGTCCGAGAGCGGCCGCCTGAGCGGCCTGAGCGGCCGCCTGAGCAGCCGCCTTTGCAGCAGCCTCCTCGGCCGCTGCAGCGGCGATAGCCGCTGCTTTGGCCTTGGCGCGCTTCTTGTCGTTTTGCCTTGTCTTCTTCTTGCTCTTCAGGTCGTCATCAAGTGACCGGCTGACTCGCCAGAGGTCGTGCTCTGGACGACTGGGGCAGGGCGACTCACCGGAGGTGAAGGGGGACGAGGGCGGAGGCAGGCTCAGCTGCTCTCCGTTGACCTCGTGTTGGTTGCAGAACCCGTTGGTTCCGTGGCAGTCGCGCACTGTGTCGTGAGGGAACCTGGTTTGTGGAGCTCCCGCAACTGTCCTGACAGTCCTGACAGAGTCCTGACAGAGTCCTGACAGAGTCCTGACAGAGTCCTGACAGAGTCCTGGCGGGGTCCTGACGGCGCACGGTCTTCACAGTGCTCACAAGTGCCTCCGATGAGACCTCCACCTTCCTTCACTGCAACCCTCCTTCCCCTCCCCCCCAGCAGTGAATGATAGACGCCCAGCCCCCCTTTCGACCGTGCGCGCCCTCTGCGGAATCGTCCTGATGGGGCAGTCCTGACGCAAACTTGAGAGTCCTGACAAGCAAACTTGAGAGTCCTGACAGAAACTTTAGAGTCCGGACAGACAAAAGAAATCACCGTCACTCTCGCGCCACTCGGCTCGACCAGGAAAGCGCACAAGCAAGAGAGGCGCGGCCATTGTGCAGGCAACGTTACAGCCGGCAACGTGCATAGGCAGCAAAGCTCGGCCACGACGTCCATGGCCCGCGCGCCCCCGATTTGCCACCGGCGGCCTGCAGGCTGACTGACTGCTGACCGAGGCAGCGCCCACGGCAGCGCCCACGGCAGCGCCCACGGCAGCGCCCACGGCAGCGCCCACAGCAGCACCCACGGCAGCGCACACGGCAGCGCACACGGCTTGGCTGGCCATGTCAGCCGCGCAGGGACCCTCCCGCGGGTCCAACCCGAAGCGCTCGACCGCTCGACAGCGCAAGTCGGCTGACGGAGCGAGCCGCATAGCCCTCCAGTGCTCACCGCAGGATCAGGCCTGACCGGCCTACACTCACGGCCTGGCCTGCCTGTGGACCAGCAAACTCGTTGGCTGTACGCGAGGAAAGAGCTGCGTGGCTGGGTCGATACCGTCCCCGTGCGCCCTTTCCCTCAGTGGAGGGCCGTCCCTGCCCTCGGGAGTAACTCGACTGTACACCCCTCCCTACTCTCTAGCTAAGGGCTCTATTCACAGCGGGGGGATAGTGGTTGTCCTGGCGGAGTCCTGACGGAGTCCTGACAGAGTCCTGACGGAGTCCTGACAGAGTCCTGACAGAGTCCTGACAGAGTCCTGACGGAGTCCTGACAGAGTCCTGACGGCCTATTTTGGAGTTTTTCAACTTTGAGGTATTGTAACTATGTGAAGGCACTATGAATGCATCAGTTCTTTGGGAGAGTGCAATCCATTTAGTTATTACCTCCAACTCAAAAAAAGTCTGGTGGCAAACGGACAATGGGGTCCCTTATGGTGGCCTCTAAGGGTAAGTTGCGGGAGCTCCACAAACCATGCCGCCGTCCCCCCTCGGACGTGAAGTCCTGCAGGATGCGCACACCTACGCGCGGCTCTACGGGCGAGTGGAGGTGGGCGTCGGGTCCCCAGCGCGTCTCCTAGACCTCGGCGAGGGCGGCGGCGCCCCTAGCGGTACCAGCGGAGACGCCGCCGCGGCCGAGGCCGCCGCCGCCGCTGACGACGCCGCCGCCGACGCCGCCGCCGACGCCGCCTCGCCCGTCGGACATGCGCCGGCCGCCGACGCCTGCGCTGCGGCTGGCGGCGCCGCCGCCCCCCTGCCAGCGCCCGACGCGCTAGGTGCCGCACTCGCCCCGGGGCCGGGGGCGGCGGCAGTGGTCTCGCCGCACGCGCCCTCGCCCGCGACAGCGCCCCCGACGGGCGACGGCGCGGACGACGGGGACGTGTCGACACCGGTCGCCACCGGGG